ATCTTTTTCTGACTTGTTTCTCTCAAAAGTGTGTCGGCTTCAAATTGCAATCAATCTCAATTCAAAAATCTCTTAGTTTTTAGGGGCACACTAAACTGACACCCCTCTTTGGACACATCTTTTATGATTTCAGTAGGGGAGGTAGGGTGAAAGAGGAGCTCCAGTAGGGTCAGGTTGAAGGTGTCTCAAACTCAATGGTTCATTTCATACAAAAGGAGTAGGCTCAAGTAGACACAACTAGAGAGCCCCCTTGGAAGATCCAAAGGGGGCCTAGACAATGAACAAAGGACAGGTGACGGGAACAGGATGACCACTTGGCCAGACAGGGACAGGAACAAAGGCCACTTGGCCAACACAGGAACAGTTAAACAGGGAACAGGATGACAGGAAAAGGTATAACTGGACTAACAGGAGACAGAACTGGAACTGAGGACATGAACAGGGATTTGGAGACAGGAACAGAAACTGGGAGCAGGAGTAAATTAATAAGAAAAGGAGAAGAGAAATGGGAAGGAGAAATCATGGAGTGAACTCATAATATTCTGACAAAATCCACACCCCTTCTTGTCACCACGCCCCTGCCTGAGGTGTCAATACAAGTTGACACCGCTTTACACCCAAAAATGGTGTGGAGAAATGTTAAAGCCCCCAAAAAGGTATGTAATCACATAGAGGACCAAGAAAGCGGTGTAGATGACCGCAGAGGACCATTGAATCCTCTTGAGGCCTACTGGAGTAGAAGGAGGGTCTGCATAGTTTGTAATGAACTTTTCTAGGGGTATGGAACATGAATTTTTCAATTTTTTAAATTCTATTCCTAAAGATTGAAGGTGGTAGAATTTTATAGTACATTTTAATTTTGACAATTTTTACATCTATAATTATTATGCATGTCTATGATACACTTATTTTTCATCAATATTTTTGAAGGTAAAATTGCCACATATTTGATGATAGTAAACACTTTCCTGCACTTTGAAGGGTGAATAATTTATGGGTAAAATTTATTTCTCCAAAAAAAAATCAATTTATTTTAATGATGTTATGTCCACTTAAAAAACCTGGTGTAATGCAAAATATTACAACATGACTCCAAAGAAGGGTGTCAGTTTAGCATGCCCTATTTTTTACTTTGAAATTAAGAAACTTTTGTATCCATTTTCATCAGTCCCCATTATTTTTCTCAGAAAGAAAAAACATGCAGACTGTACATAATTATTTACGATTTTGCTCCTATAAATTAGAGTGCAAATTTTTTTGTCTTGGCACTGTACTGATGGAAGCCAAAGAGGTTCTGTAAATTCTGATCCAAGGGGTTTGATAGGTTTCTGTCCAAGGTGACCAGGGGTAAAAATATGCCATTGGGTCCTTTCCTTTCATCAGAGTAGTTGATTTATGGCCTGAGTAATGAGAAGTAAATGAAAGTGATAGAAAATAATAGAAAATGGATATCTTTTTAATTTTTAACATTTTAGAATACCACAGCCACAAGGCAACCTTGTCCAGAAGTTTGGTACTGACAGATGACTACTGCACCTTCATGCTGCCTGAACCCACACCAAGACACACTGCGTCTTGGTTTGATAATGGTTCAATCAACTTTCATCTTTTCATTTATTTCATCATGAATTTATGCAGTCTTGAACACCATAACTCATTTATGGTTTTCAAAATTTGAACTGATTTCTTTTGAAGGTTTTACATAATGGGGGGTATCAAATATAAAGGAGTCCACCTTTAGAACCTTTTGATTAGAAAACATCAAATCCACAATTCCTAATTCACAGATTTCCAAAAAAAAAGTATAGCTAAAATCAGAACGGATTTCAAAACCAAAAAATGTAAGTATTTGCTCCCAAGTACGGGTTTCATAAATAATTACTAATGATCACTGTCTCACAATACTCAACTAACCTCACTAAATCCATCAAAAGATACCTCATCCACACAATAAATCATGCGTCAGCAATCATCTCAACACAAGCAGGTTCTCAAAGCAGCAAGTACTACTGACTTCATCATGATGTTTGACTCAGAAACCACAAGAAAGTCAGACCTGGAAGATTACTTATCCTTTTGCAAACACCAATACAAGAAACAAAAACTTTCAGCCAAGGGAACCATCACTACATTCCATCCACAACACAATTTTTCTGCCATACAAAGCCTTTATGAATTCTGTTTCCAAAAACTTTTCCATATGAGCTGGCCATGTTTTCTCAATCTTCTGCATTTGATTGAACCAGATCCCATATTCTAAAACAAATCTCAGAATCCTCAACAAGATGTCTCAATTCAACTGGCTGTTTCCACATTCCGCCTGGGATCTAATGGTAATGGAGCAGCTGTTCTCAGACTCAAGAAGCTATTCACAAATTTGGATATGTAGTAATCAACCTGTACACTACACAAGTCATCAAAGCAATCTACAACATGCAATAAATTTTTGAATCATGGCCAACACAAGAGGAAAAAAGTAGAAATATCTCAGGTCATGGGAGAATACGGCTTTCCTGGCTGAATTTATTTTGTGGATAGGACAGCAATTCCACCTAGTCAAAAGCCCCCCATAGATTTCAATCACTACTATGATTGCAAGAAGAGGTCAGGTGTCACTAATTCTTCTGTGATAAGCAATTCTGAAACAACTCTTTACTAATTTCCACATCCCATTGTCAACAGATACTCAATTTCACTCACCCTTGTTTTTGATGTCAACAAGAAATTCACATCCTATCTAGCCGGTTATCCAGGATCATGCCACAATAGCTATGTATTCTCAAACATGCAGATTGCTCATCAGCCTGAAAAATTCTTCAAAATCATTTACTTCTAGAAAACTCAGATTATACAAGTGATTGGTTTACACTACAAAGAACTAGGATTTGTCCAAACCAGTTCCAACATCAAGACTCTTCAAATCAAAAGAATTGGCTCCATCTGACTGTTGAACAAGCATGGGGAAATATTTTTAAACTACGTCTTTTTTATTCCAGATCTTGTTGTCAATCTAATCTCAGTCCCACGCTTAGCACAAGGAAATCATAATTCTTTACAAAAATAGCTTAAGTCGTGAAAGACAATGACGTCAAGATGGATGGAAAATATATCATAAATCTGCCTACATTGGAGTTTGACAACTGAACATTCTCAAGTCATCTCTCTTCTGCTGAGTTCATTCACAAATCCCTGCATGTGAGCTATCATGGATTAAAAAAGAAACTCATTATTCCACTAAAAATCATCAAGGACTGCAAGTTGTGTGCCGTGGCCAAAG